ATTGTAGAAATACATCAATTTTGTATTTCAAATTATTACGGCCAGGTACAATGACATACAAAAACATGTATTCATCTTTCATATACATTGAGGGTGGTAGATTATATGGTGTGACAATGATAGGCCATGATGAATATTGTTGTCCTAATTGTCCAAATGGCTGAAACCCATCAGTGCAAAGCCAAAGCCCCAATCTCACATTTCTTATCTCAGCAGCAAACACATGATGATTGTTATCAAAGTCCTTCCAGGCTTCAGAGTTTGACGGATGAGTCATTATACCATCCTCATATTCATGCAAGCATGCCATCTCATGTGTTCAGCTGTCGCCTTAGATGCATATAACCTTTAAAGATGAGGAACAAGAGGGAAATAATACATCTTCTTGAAAGTCTTCTCTCTTTGTACTGTACTCTACCAGTCCCTCGACCCCGCCGCTTGATATCTTGGAATATTACAAAAAACTTTGCATTACTCTTAAAACTTGCATTCTCTTAATTCGGAGTCAACACCCCAGTATATCATATAATTATTTCGACAACAATCAATCTTTTCCACAGGTAGTCCTAATCCCTGAACTAATTTTCTTTTTCGATAAAAATTATCCACCTTCGAATGGCCTTCAGGCAACATTTCTTTTGATAACTGCACAAAATCATCCTTACACCTTTCTAAAAAATGGTGCTCCACTTTCATGTGTAGTAATCGTGCCACTACAGATAGAACTGAATGATTCTTGTATCTAGGCCACAGTTCACTATTAGCTGCACTTAGCATGTTAAACAATTGTTGTGCTGCATAGTTTGGCGATTCCTCTATAGTGTCCCAATGGAATTCTGCTCTACCCGCATCGAGTACCATATCATTGCATCGATTACCATACGATTACCATACTGAAATTGCAAAAGCTGACATTTTGAACTTACAGCAATAGAGTGGCTTGACCCACTGAAAACTCGAGGTTCACCATGATATATCTATTCGTAATAATTTTTCACGAACTCATACTTGCATAAATGAAGTTTAATTCTATCGATATCTAAGAATGCTCTATTTTGACACTTCTTGTGATTACATGGACACCTCAACTTATTACTATCCATACAACTGGAATTACCAACTGCAAACTCTCTAAACAATTCCAATCCTTGCAAGAATTCATTTTTTAATATCCCATTGACCTCATACCTCCAGTACATCCAATCTCGATTAGTCCGCATTTTTTTACGTAATTAACACTATGTTTATAAATGACAAATTATATGTAATTGCATTAGTCCTAAATCATCCTTAAAATAGACCAAAAGTAATGTTCCATTTGCATTTCTAACCTACTAAGATTATTTCAATAATAAGGGTAACTATATATGTTGTAAACTCACTAAGGTTATTATTTCTAACTAAGGGTAACTATATATATTATATATAATATATATGATAATATATATATATATATATATATATATATATGTAAACTTAGTATAATATTAGTAAGTGTACGATTCCTCATATTCAATTTTTAAAAAAATTTCGGTAGCACTTCGGCAAAAAATTATCATATTTCAAGTTAAAACACACTCACATAAACATTTCTATATAATCCCAACATTCTCCAAAGTCAAAATGGCCACTACTAGGCCTCCAACTCAAACGCATCATTCATGTGATTTCCACTCAAGTAAAAACACAAATCAACATAAAGTAATTTCAAATAAATAAATTTCAATACATCATTGCAAATTAGGTTTTTAATCAGTTGCGGATTAAAAAACATACCAAACACCTATAAAATCAAATGCTCTCTAAAACCCTAAAAGCATATGAAACACCTATAAAATTAAATGCCTTTTAAAACACTAGAAGCTGCATGAAAAATTGTTGTCGAATTAAGGCATTAGAGTATTCAAAAAAATCAGTCAACAAAAAATATTATGTCCTTTTTTATTCATACATTTTAGCATAATGTATAACATTGTAATTATATATATATTATGTCCTTATTTTTTATTTTTCTTATACTGTTACATCGTTTTGTCAATTTTTAGTACTTTTTCTTCGTCACAAAATGTTATTTTATTATTGCATTTTGTCAAAATTAATTAATTAATTAATATATTATTGTATTTACTGATTATTTCATTTATATTGAGTCAAAATTAAGTGATTTATCTCTCTATTTAATGGAAAAAAATTATAAAAAATTAATAGAATAATATAAGAGTATAAATCAAATAAAAGTGGATGAATCATAGTCCATGCTTAATTGCAGAATGTCAAATAGCTTAATGTTTAGGTGAGCATTGGATTATTTTATGGTTATTATCTTTGAGGTGATTAACATTCTTTTAGTTCGGGTGTTTTGAATTATTATGAAAACATTGAAGTTCTAATAATATAAATCAAATAATTATGTTTTTTATTTTTAATAATTTATACATTATTGATTAAAAGTCTTTCGTTATTATCATTGAGGTGATCAAAAAATAAAAATTTATTAAAATCTCAAATCCAACTGAATTTTTTGTGGGCCATGCTTATTATGTAATCAAATTTCATATATTTAAGGTGACCTAAGATTTTTTTTTTTTTTTTTTTTTTTTTTTTTTTTTTTTTTTTTTTTTTTTTTGGTGAAGCTTACCAATGCTAGAGATAGATTTATATTTTATACTTTTTTGTAATGTGCAGCAATTAAGCAGAACAAAGAATAAGTTTCTTTTTTTTTTTTTTTTTTAATAGAAAGAGTAAATATTATCACTTGTGGAAGAGATTGCACATGTTAATTTTTTTTTTTTTTTTTAAGAAAGAGTAAATATTATCACTTGTGAAGAGATTGCACATGTATAAGTACAAACAAATTACAGCCACAATTAACATGGTACAAAAAGAAAAAGAAAAAACAAAACCTTAACCTGTTGCTAAAATGCATCCCAACAAAAAATTGTTGTCCAATCAAGATTCATACAAAATAAAAAACACAAAACAATAAACAAAAAATAGAAAATGAAAAAAAAAACCAAAAAAAAAAAGAAAAAAACACAGGCTAAGGCGACGTACCTGACCAGGCAAAGAATGCGTAATCTCCGGTGAGAGGGGCTTCTTCGGTGACCCATGCTACAACAGAGTAGAAAAGGAGGCGGCTAGAAATGGCGCTACAGAGAGGAGAAGGAGAAGAAGCTGTTGTGCTCGCACAAGGCGACTAAGGGCTAATAAAGCTCTATTTTTTTGCGACTGACAATTCATTAAAAAATCGGTCGCAATTTTTAATCCTGGATGTCGTTTTGTTGTCAGAAATATTGCGACCGACTTGTGATCAAAATAATCGGTCGCAAATCGGTCACTAATCCCTTGCAAACCGGAAACTAAATTTGGCGCTGAACTGTAGGCGCAATTTTACGATCGACTTTGAAATTGTCGCAAATTAGTCACAATGGGTCGCAAAATGGAAACCAAACTGGCGGAAATTATTAGCGCTAGAATTAGCGACGAATCTGCTTTCGGTCTCAAGTCCATCGCAAATTCTGTTACCGTTTGATCGCAAATCCGTCGGTAGATATTTAATCTCCTAATCATCGCAATTGGTCGAAATATCATCGCAATAAGTCCGTCGCAAAAATTGATCGCAAAAGCGCATTTTTTTTTTAGTGTTAATGAAAAAGATATAAAATTGGATGAAATGACCTTATATAATCTGACGGAAGTAAATTTTAAGGACATTTTAGTCTATTTCCTAAAAGATAGGGACGGACTAACTATATTTCGTAAGCTACAAGGATCGTACTGTAATTTTCTCTTAGAAAATTGGGAGTCAAATTTTTGCTTAATTAATCCATGTTTAGGTTTTTGGGTGTTTTGGGTAATTCTGATCACTTGATTAGGTACTCGGCTTGTTAAGCTTTTTCCAGCTATTTTAACTTCTATAAATTTAATAAAATTTAAAAGTCCTAGCCGATTGAAAAAAAAGTGACCTTTAATTACATGTAATAGCATTTAAACTTCAGCGGTTAATAATTTAGAAGTTGAAAGTTGATGTTATATCTAGTGATTAGCATAACTTAATTAAAAAAAAAAAAAACTAGTGATGAGAATTTGACTTTTTGATAGATAGCGAATATAATTAATTAACTAAATTTCAAGTAATTATCAACTGGTAACAGTTAATTAACAACTGCATATTGGACAAAATGGAACTACCATGCATGTTATCATATCGAACTGCAAAGGATTGGACATTAAGTTATCTCTTGAGAGGGTGAAGACAAGGACATAGAGAAAATAAAAACAAACGGTTAGCCAGGCGAAACCAAGATTTATAAGTAAGGAAGAAACTGTAGTTAAAGGAAGAGTAAAAATTTGAATTTGTTTTGCCAAGGAATTTTTGAGCGAGCTATTCGATACTCTTTCCTTTTAGTGAGGTAGAGGTTCGATCCTCGATGAAGTAAATATTCATTGGGCGCTATGCTGATCTGAATATTTATCTTGATTTGAATACAATAATTGTTAAAGGAATTTTTTCTTTTTTTCAAAGACAAAGGGGGATGATTACCCTTCTCTAATAACATGACTTCGCCACTGATAATCTAAGATACCCAGTAAAGTTTATTTTGTTTCAGAGAATCATAATAATTAAATTTTAATAATAAATCGCTAATTATTAATTAGCAAGTATACAACTACTGAATCAAATGAAATGATGTAAGCCAAAATTGCATAGTTAAGAATAATGTTGAAGGGATAGAAGCAAAGGTTTCACAAAGGAGTAGATCAATTGGCTACTGTTGGAGGATGCTATCTGGGTTTGTCCTGTTTAAGAGAATTTCTAGAGAAATGGACCCACTGATCACGTGGAGAAGGGGTGTCTAATGGTAATCCTACAAGACAAAGGAATGGTCATTTACAAATCTCCTCTAATCCTTTCACAACCAATTATCATCTATCTCTCACGTGGGACTCTTGGTCCTACACACCACCGCCCCTTTCCCTTATAATTTGCCCTTTTCACTTCGCTATTCTTATATTCTTCTTATCATATCACACACATTGTTGCACCAACTACTTCACTGTTCATTCTTTTCCTTGTTACAGTTTCATATATTTTAGTTATAGCAGTAGAAGATTCTGTTGACATGGGAGACTCTTCTGCTTCATACATACACATGGTTAGCCTTTTTTTTCCAAGAATTTCGTTATTTATTTTATTGATCAATATTATTACAGTACTTTGATCTCAACCAATTTTATAATTTATCATTTATTTATATTTTATGATTATGAGTCTTCTTGTTAAGTGTTATTCAGCTTCAGCATCTTATAGAGAAGTGCTTGATCTTTAACATGACAAAGGAGGAGTGCATGGAAGCCCTTTCTAAACATGCAAATATTGATCCTATTATCACTTCTACTGGTTTGTTTTATTTGCCTTTTTCTTTTACCAATTCTTAATTTAATGTTTTGACTTTGTATATATGAATCAACCTAACTAGTTATTGAGGTTGATTCTTGATATTTATGTATGTATATGATAATAGATTCCATCTCACCCTTTCAAGATTCATTACACGTGTGATAAGAAAATACTAAAAGAGTAATAGTAATATATAAGTAAGAATCTATATTTCACGATTATCCAACACTAATATATAAATGTTTGTTAATATTTCCCAGGTACTCAGATTAATGGATGATCTTCTTCTTAATCTATATATTTATATATATTAAATAAATAAAATTCCATCATTTAACTTCAAAAACCAAGGTCATTATTGTTTTCTCTTACAATCTTGAAAGTGCTCCTAAGATGTTCTTTCAGTTGGAAAAGAGTTTAGCAGGGTTTGATTTTCCGATTTATATCACTATTTATTGTTGTTTTGTTCCTTTTTCTATCTCGGTGAAAAGACATCCACGCTCTTATTTGCGTGCACAAATTGTCATATTTAGATTTGGCGGGTGTATGTACTTAGTATAAATAAGCTTATTTCCAAAAAGTTCAAGACAAAAATCTCTTAATAACATAATTTTTCTTTTCTATCCTTTTTTTATACAAATAATCGTTTAGATACGGTTGATCATATGAGAATAATTACAGTGACTTGAAAATATGCAGTGTGGATTGAACTGGAGAAAGAGAACAAGGAATTCTTTGAGGCATATGCTCAATCGAAGATCAACGATGATAGAATGTCTGAACAGGAAACAAGTCAAATGATTCAAAAGTTTATCTCCGATTCCTCAAAAGATTCAACAGAAGACTAAACATTTTATGTATGTATTGGTACATGAAAGTGATCTTTTTCTTTTTTCTCTTGTATGTGTTATGTTTGGTAGCTTTGGCTTTCTTTCGAAAACCAAGAATCCATCCAAAAACTCGTAGAGGAATTAGATTTGATGTCTCTACTATCCATGTGGTCCTAAAGTGAAACTATTCACCCTCCAATAATTATCTTGTGGGATATTGAAAATGTATTTTATATGGAAATTATGCTCCCTTTAAAAAAATAATTTATTTTTATTTATTTAATACAGATTGTTTTTCTTTTATTTTTTTTTTTAAATGTAATTTTTTACATTTTTGGAGTTGCAATTTTTTTACAAGTTCACAAAGTATAAGTTTAATATAGACAACACTTGAAGAGTTTATAGCTGGAAAATATTTTTCTTTTTCTTAAAATCATCCCTTTGTTAATTTAGTATAAACAAAGTAGAAAATTTACTCTTAAATAATAGAGTTTGGTTTAATAATATTTAATTTCACAAAATTAAATATTCTAGAGTGAAATTAATAATTCTTTTGAGGAGATTAATAATTTTTTAAATTATATATAAAATGTCTGATTCCAAATAAATTTTATTATAATACATTTATACCAACTAATGCATTCCTTCGTTAGTGACATGTGACACATTCTACTTACAGGCCTCCACTTGGCACTCTAAGTCTCCATTTAACATTTCTTCTACCTATAGTTATTTTCATGTAATTATTATTTTCAATTAATTTTCATAAAAATTTATAACTTGAGAAAATGAAATAACTATTTCTATCATAGCATTGGTTTTCATTAATTATTATAATTATTTTTATCATTTAAAAGAATACTTAATATCATAATTAAAAAATTAGAGAATATTTAACTATAATTATCAAATTAATTTTGAATATTATGAGTTGTATAAATATTTGTTTACAAATCAGTTATGTAAATATTAGGAAGTAATTTCAATAGAAAATGAAATATTGAAATTAAATTAAATATTAAAAAAAATTTTATGCACAGTCTAGCTAGTGTAATCGTAATTCTTTTAAGCTCAAAGAGATGGCATATGAATGTCCTGAAATTTTTACAAAACACATTTAATTTTAATTTAGATATATTTCATATAGTGACTCCATTAAAATTTTTGAATTGATCCTTCAAATATTGATTTATTAAATGTTGAGGCATATGGAGTCCACATAATTTTTATGTATCTGAAATATAAAATTTATATTTTATCCATTTAAACATATTTATTTAGTTCTTAATTTTATTTTGGTACATGTGAAATATTTTAATAGAAAAACCCTCACATCTTGTATTATGAGACAACTCAATTATTGGCATATTAGCCTAGCCGATAACTTGCTTGTTTTAAGTAAGCATGACCACTGGTTCATTTTGAATCAGAATCGAACCGTGCTGTAGATGAATTGAAATCGGATCGAAACCGTCGGTTTAAAATTTTGAATCGGAACCGGCAGTTCGAGGGCCGATAAAGATTCATGTGAATGTTAAAATCTGAACCTGAACCGTCGGTTAACCGACGGTTCCGATCTTGTTTGAACATGAAATTTTCTATTTTTATTTTCAAAATAATAATCACTTATTCTATTTTATACATCTCTAAAAGTCTTAATAATATTTTTCTACATGATATACTTTACTTAAGTTTTTTTTTTTTTTAAATACACTTTACTTTAAAAGTTAAAAATCTAAAAGTAAAATAATAAAAAAAAAGAGAAATATTTAGTCTCAACTTATATTATTTTTAACTTTTTTTTTTACCCTTTTAAATTGTTTACTAAGTTTGAAATTACATTCTTTTGAAGCATTTTTAAGTAAAATAATAAAAAAAAAGAGAAATATTTAGTCTCAACTTATATTATTTTTACTTTTTTTTTTACCCTTTTAAATTGTTTACTAAGTTGAAAATACATCTTTTGAAAAGCATTTTTCAAAATTTTCTTAATAATTTATTTAATTAATAACATTTTAAAAAAAATAAAGTGGTAATTATATGATTATTTTATAAAAATTAATTAAATTTATTCTTAATATGAGTATGAGCATTCTAAAATTTATTTAAAATAAAATTTATCAATATTTTTCAACTGATATTTAATATTTTCGAAAGAAAGATGTAAAGCATTCTAAAATTTATTTAAAATAAAATTTATCAATATTTTTTAAACTGATATTAATATTTTCGAAAGAAAGATGTAATATTAGAACCGATTTAAAAAAAAAAACATATATTGCCGGAAATCGTGATCAGAACCGTACCGGAATCGGCCAGAACTGAAACTGGACCGGAACCGGCGGTTCAAGGGCCGGTTCAGGTTCAACATTTTAAAAATTTTGAACCGTTGGTTCCGTGAACCGGAACTGGCGGTTCAATGAACTGGCCATGCCTAGTTTTAAGGCTCTGTAAATAAATAGTATTATTTATATTATTATATTTGATAAGAAATTACTTAAAAAAAGAACTCTTACATTTCCCTTAAGATACACTTTAATCAATTTCTTTTAAAAAATATGTATACACCTTCATGAATGATACAAGAATACGAGATTAAAGTGCCTTGTAATATAATACTTTAAAAATTAAAGGAAAATTACAGTACGATCATTAGTATATATTTTTTAAAAATATACTAATTTGTTTCTATATTTTGTTTCTGTTACACTATTAGGTCCTTCTGTGTAATTTTTTTGCATCTTTTTTGTTCAGTCAATAAGAAAACACAGAGGTCAAAAGAGAGATAGTAAAATATTATAGCAGAAAAATTACAGTGCAGTTCCAATTGGTTTGAAAATACAACTAGTCTATCCCTGTGTTTTCAAAAATAAAAGGGGTATTTTCGTCATTTCATAAGCTACTTAACAAAAAAATTGCAAAAATTGAACGAAAAGACCTCATAATCTTACGAAAGTAAACTATAAAGACATTTTAATTTATTTTCTAAAAGACAGGGACAGACTAATTGTATTTCATAAATGGCAGAGACGGTATTGTAATTTTCTCAAAATTAAAATGTAATTGCTAATTAGAGTTTAGAATTTTTGAGATTAAAAGTGTCATTTAATTTTTTAGGAGCCCCAGCAATTTGGTTTGGTTGTTTACACTAGTAGATAACAGGTTTGGTTGCCGATAGATAGTGACTAATTTTTTATGGTGTTTGCTCATGAATATTTAAACTATCAGTTGCATGAATAATTAAACTCTTAATATTTTTTGAATAGCATGATACGGATTTTCTGAGTCCAATTGCTGGAGTGGAAGGACATAATTTTAGGTGAAAAAAAAAAAAAAGAACCATGATAACAAGAGAGAAAACACACCAGTGGTATATATTTATTTTACTGACAGAGGCTGCTGTGAGTAAGATATGGAGAATCTTTACGGATCATCAAAGCGCAAGATTAGGAGATTAGGATATCAGAAACAATGACTAGTATTACCAAGACTGATTTGAAATAATATCATTTTGGATTGAGCTTGATGATGTGTCGAATTTTCATTGGCCTAAATTAGAAGCTACTTATATTCTTCTCCTGGCTACTTTGGACTCCCTTGTCTATTACCGCTGTAACATCCAATGTGTAACATCTTACTTGCACTGTGATTGTATTTTGCTAATCCATTTCTATTTGGTCGTCAAGTAAGATGAAATTTTCTTTCGGTCAAGTTTCTACGTTGTTTTGTAATTAAGTGGCATGAACTGGCATCAATTGTATGGTGAGTTGCATTTATTTTATGGTGAGCTAGTCTCAGGAAATTCAAAAGCAAGAGGACAAGCGTTCGCCTAAAGCATTTTGAAACTATTCTCATTTTTCAACATTTTGATTTCATTCACATGCTATTTGTCTTTTCTCTTCAGCTCCATTTCAGAATATCAATTGTCTTGAACTTCATATAATAGTAATTGTAAAAAATGATATGTGATTTTATGTGCTAAAGTTAAATCCTATGCACTAAGATAGCTCACAAAATACAACATTTTTATTTTTAAATTACATATTTTTTATTTGATTTGATTCGAATAGTTTTAATCCTAAAATTATAAAACCAAACGATAATTTAGTTTTTCAAATTTTTATAAATCAAACCTAATTAAACTATGAAATTTTCAAACCACAGTTTTGAATTACTTTTATTCAATTCTGGAGATTTTAACAATTTATTAACTCTTATATTGAGAAATTACATATGACAAATGCAAACAAACACTGAACTATTAAAAATTATTCGTTCTCTCTCTGGCTATCTTTTTGTGTTCTTCTAGATTTTGTCTCTAAACTATCGTCTACCATTTTTTGTCATTATCTATCATTTTTCTTTATTTTATTTAGTTTTGTTTTGAACAATTTTCAAACCTATGATCGTTTGGAAAAAATTTTGGATTGAGTCTCTCAAATCTGTAATAGTTTATAGATCTTGAGTGTTTTTAATACTATCTTAGTAGGGTTATTAATTTCTATCCTTTCATAGGTTGTTCTTCATTGTTGAAGAATTTTATATGGATCTTTTATTGCTCTGGCAGTTTAAAATACAAGATGGATTATTGATTGTTTGTGGTTGGAGACTTCAGATCTTCAAATTTGGATAAGTTTCTATTATCAATGGAACTTGGTAATGCGGTCTGTTCCTCCATTAAAATTTATCATATTAAATTCTTCTGTAAGTATCACTTGTAACAAATTTCCGAAAAATCAATGTTCGGGACTTTATTGTAAAATGTTTCTTTTGTCGTCCTATTTGAAAATGGATCAGTTTTTATCTATAAGATTAACGTCTTTTACTAAGATCAAGAATATCTTTAAACAGAAAATTTCAATTTTCTATATTTGCATTTGTTATTCCTATAGGAATGTTATGATATACTTAACTTATATTCATTATTAATGAATTGTTAAGTTTTTAAAAAAACAAAAAATTATTGGTCATACTTTCTTTATGTACTTTTTCTATGTTTATAATTATACAACAAAGTTAAATAAAATAACTTGCGAAGAAGTAATACAGAAAAATGACAAAGTTAACTTATTAATCGGAAAATAATGATTATAATGAAACATAAAACTCCTAAATTCACTATTCAAAACTACTCAGATCCATTAACAAGATATATAAATGGAAAAATTATAATTGTAACTCCTATATTTTGTAAAAAAAAAAATTACCTTTTCATTTTTAAAAATATTGTTATATCCTCGTATTTTTTGGATTGTTATACTATGTTGTGCTTTACTCAATTTTTGCGATTTTAAAGTCCAAGACAATGGAGAAGCTGACGGTCGAAAGGAGAGAGAAGTTAATTTTTTTACCAAAATACCCCTAAGAGATTTTAGCTTATGTGACTTCGAACTTTCTGGGAATAAAACTTAAAATTGGAAAAAAAAAAAAAAAAAAAAAAAAAAGCTTATGTGACTTCGAAACTTTCTGGGAATAAAACTTAAATTGGAAAAAAAAAAAAAAAAAAAAAAAAATAAAAAAAAAAAAAAAAAAAAAAAAACAATAGAAAAGAAAGCATTATTAAATCAAAAAACCTTCAAAACAATCTAATCAGTTTTCAATTTAATTTCTAGAGATAAGTACAAACTTGAAACTCATCCCTTCTTACAATATGTTATCTCTCTCTCTCTCTCTCTATTGTACTAGCCGCTAGTCCTGCATTTTTTTCTTTTTACTATGAATTCTATACCAATCAACAATTGTTGCAACAATCTTGATCAATTAATCCAGTTACACAAAATTGCTTTACCACGGATTTTCAACAAGGTTCAAAGGCCCTCCATTCAATAAAATAAAAAATAAAAAAATAAAAAAATAAAAAAGCAAGAAGTACTTTGCAATCTTATGGCAAACACAACAGATATGCTATTTGCGGAATTGCAGAACAAAATTTATGTTAACAAAATAACTCATTCAACTGTCAAGCAGAAAATGAAAGAAGACTTGTAAAGGTAAATTCAAGAAGTGTATTATGATTGTAACTGCGATATACTTGTACATTTGTTAATACTGTAGATTGCTTAGTCTAGTTTAATATTGGTTGAAAATATAGGGCAGTCCACAGCTGATTATACACTTCTTTACTGTTCAATAAAGCAACTTTTTTAACATTTACCAACTCTGACTCTTGTAATATCAACCAATCAGCTCTCAGTCTTGGGATTAGTCCTCATCCGAAAATAGGGCATATGATCCTTAAAAGTGAGAAAAAGAAATAAATGTTCAATTAAAATCAACATTATCATTGTGTTTCAAGATACATTGACTCAGTGAAATGATAGTAACCAAGCTCCAAAATCCAAGATCTGCCAAATCCAACAATTCTTATATTCTGATCTAGCAAAAGATTTCGCTGACTTGAAATCTCAATGAAGAATGCTTATTGCCATAGCATGACCCCTTGAGGGGATCACTGTCCCTCTAATTTTTTAAAATATCAATTTTTTTCTCTTATAAAGATTTTTTTTTTTTTTTTTTGCCCCTGGCATAACATGTACCGTATACGTCTTCATACAAAACCTCACTCTTGTACATGTGATAAATACTTCTTGTTGGGTTCTTTCGCATTCGACAAACAATCTTTTCTGGTCCCTGTGTGAAAAGAAAAATGAATTGGATGTAGAGAAAACGTGAACTATGTCAGATGTCATGGAACATTTAACATGTGTTTGATTATTGGGTTCAGAAGAAAAATTTAAACTGTGGTGTGAATCATGTCATTCAAGCAAATATAATTTTCATCTCAGGCTAATTCTCAATGAGAAACTTGTTGCATATGTAAATTCTCTTTCAATCAATTAATTCTCATTAAGAATATTATTCCCAAATCAAAAACTCAATTAATATTGTGTCCACCATGTATTTGATAGAATGCCCAAGTGAAGCATCCCATAAGTTTCAGAAGAATCGAAGAAATTTAGTTTTAGAAGAGCCAACGAAAAGTCTTGAAATCTCTTTGGGGATGGGTCCGCTTGGGAGGCCCGCACAAGCGAGTTCTGCAAAGTAAGCAGCGTCAGCGCTCGGCCAGCCTACAACCCCTCCAAAAATTCTTGCGCACATTAAATTATCGGCGCTGCGAGCAGCTCTCACCACTCGCTTTGTTTTCCTTACTCATTAGTTTAAGGCAGTTTGTTAAGGCGCATCAAGGGTATACTTATAGCACTTCACACACGGATGATTTCTTCCCTTCTCCGATGTGGGATCACTAAACGTTATGTACCTTTCTTCCAGACATAGCACTCAAGCCCAAATTTAATTGCATCCTCGGTCATTTTCTTTGAGAATAAATTATTTGAAATTCCCTTTTGACCCAACTAATTAATTGGAATTTTATTTTTTAAATTTTAATTTATCAATCTTTGTGTATATTTATTTCCAATTAAATAATCTTTATGTTCGTTAGTCAATAAAAAAAAGTCGAATAGAAGTAGAAAATTAATCATTTATTACTTATAATATCGTTTAACACTGAATTTTTATTCTCATTTCTCTTTGCTCTACTAAACTAGAGGCTTGTAAGATTTAGATAGATGAATGAAAAAAATAAACAAAATTAAATAATAAAATTAAAGTTTTAAAAAGTTAGAATAATAAATTTATTCTTATCATTATGAAAATTGCGCTTGATTATCAACTGACTAATATTTCTTTTTTATTGATATGACTCATATTTTTTAAATTAAATTAATTATTTCAATTGGCCCAAAATGTAATGGGGACTTCCAAGACTAATTTTTGAACTATGTTAGTGTTTGGAAGGAAATGTAAACCTCAATTTCCTTTTTTTTTTTTTTTTTTTATTTTTTTGAACTATGTTAGTTGTTTTGGGGAAAGGAAAATGTTAACCTCAAATTTCCTTTTTTTTTTTTTTTTTTTTGAGTAATTGAAACTTCAAAGTAATCTGACTTGGGATGTAGACTTTTTGGAACTGGTTCTTTTGTTGATTTCCTTTTTCTCTTTTGGTTTTTGTTTTTTATTGCATCTTCAGAGGATAGGGCATAAAAAAGTCCAATTATAAAATAATTATTATTATGGTTATGTGCATTGCATTAATTAAAGTGGATTCTCACTTGTCATAAATAGATTTCCTTTTTTTTTTTTTTTTTTGAGTAATGTAAACTTCAAAGTTAATTGACCTTGGATGTAGACTTTTTGAACTGGTTTTGTTGATTTCTTTTTCTTTTGGTTTTTGTTTTATTGCATCTTCAGAGGATAGGGGCATAAAAGTCATTATAATAATAATTATTATTATGGTTATGTGCATTGCATTCAATTAGTGGATCTCACTGTCATATAGACAAGTCCTGTATCCAAATTGGCTCTAAGTGCGCCGTCTTAGTAACACTTTTGCCATGCTACGTGTGCTAAAACACTCGACTAATAAAATTTTGTGATATGGATTTGGATATGATTCATTTTATAATTCAACTTCATATACCAATATTTTAAAAATTACATCCACTCCAAATTTCATATTCCAAATACCCATAAACACAAGAAAAGAAAATTCTCCTTCCCATCTCTTTTTTCTCTTTTTTTTTTTGACCACCTTTATTTTCCTACATCCCTCTTTTTTTTTCCCCCTAACAAAGTGCAACCCCGAGTCATTGAACTCGTAGAATAACATTTGTATGTAGTTTTAATCTCTTGCTCTATAGGCTACCAATATTTGTTTGGATTTGAGATATGACTGTGAGGATAATTTGCCACATTACCAAGGATCTCAAGGACATGCTCCCTATATGCTACAGCAACCTTGTACACTTAATAATACTATTCTGAAATGCTCATTGACACCTAAATTTTCCTGTCTTTTCCTCCTCATTTTCTGTCTAATTCAATGGATTTCTCTTTCAATCCTTCAAGTATTTTCCTTTTCTTCTCTATTTTACTTTTTCAGAAACAAATACTGTTCGCTCAACCCAAAAAGGTCAAAAAGAACTGACTCTACAGATGGTTGCTCAAGTGCAAGAACAAGAGTACTTGCATTGTTGGAACAATTGTTGCAAATCGTACATAAACCAATGCAGAAACAAGATCAACCCACAAGAGCAGAAATAGAAGGGAACTCGCTCTACAAACTATTCAGTGATGAATAGTTACCATATCCACTAATGAAAGCTTTTGTATTATATTGTATTAACCAAACAATTGATCCCCAATAGACAGAAAAATCGAACGCAATGATGCATACTTACAAGCTTATAAGTTACAGAAAACAATTGAAACTTTGCCAGCTAAAAAATCAAATGCTACATGGCAGCTGCAATGCAGCGCAATGTCGATATACTGAAATGACTGATACTATAGTTTTTCTAAACAAGCTCAGTGCCGATACTGTAATTTTTCTAAAACAAGCTTCACCATAGCACTGAAAATGACTGTTACACTTTCGCCGTGACACACCGACATATCTACACAATGACCATGTCCATGTCCGCAACTGCGATTTAAAACCTAGCTACATGCATTGCCTTGATAAAAATGGGTATACACTATTTGCTGAAAGAATCAAAGAATTTCAAGACTTCCGTAACAACAATGGCTCTAATTGAGGGTCAGTATGCAGTTTCTTATCACCTGACTCCAAGTCAGCAATTGATAAATCCTCCTTTCTTTGTTTTGATAACCTGTGGAAGAAACCTGGTCTTTCCTCTGGTTGATCTGACTGCTTAGGTGTTTGGTTTAAGCCCTGAACATAATGTAGGCAAACTTGAACAGCATCATGCACTCTCACAAAGTACCATTCCTTACCAATAAGTTCTACGAGACCTGCTTTTGATAAGGTGAGCAAAACATCTCGGTTGGGGTTGGAGATAGCAATCTGCAAAAAGATCATCATATATTTCTATCTCTATACGAGTTCGGAGTTAAAACTTAACCTGCAGAATGAACAGCAAACCTGTACATCCCGTGATTTATATTCCTGATGCAGATCTTTCAAAGCTTGAACAGCACTTGAGTCTATATATGTAACAGCTGCAGAATTAAAAAAGCATTCAGGATGTAAATAGCTGGTTCTTTCTTAGCCTTAGTTTTTATAATTTCAGGAGCAAACTTGGCAAATATGATAAATTTTTTTATTTGAGAAATTATGCAATCCATATTGAACTCTTTGGAGTAGAAAATTTTCAAACCACCAGAATTGGATCAGATGGAGATTTGCAGTTCAGATTATATAGAACAGACCAGACAGAACTACAACAGGAATCAATCACATAGTTATACTCCAAAATAGTATGCAGCCGCAGTACAATGTGGGAATACTGTTCAAACTTATCGAAAAAGCAATGACTCATGTCCCTACTCTTCAAAATATCACAAAAGAACTGAAAAAGACAGGAAAGGCTTGAATTACTACTTTCAGCTACTTCTCAAGAAAGATATAACATTTGATGAAATTCTTATAATATTCCATACTTGCAGGAATATTCATCAAGAAAAGAAAAAGAAAAAGAAGCTGAGGTGAAAAGCAATAAGAAACATGCATTAGCTGACAACACTCAAAAATTTAACTGAAAATGATGTAGGCTTTTCCTTGAGCTAGCAATCAAATAAGGATAATTAAGACTTACGTGACATCTCCAAAATCACAAAATAAACTCTTTCTACTTCTGGTCCATGTCTTGTAGATTTGTCAATGTCAAGTTCATAGTCTCTGAGTCTGACAAAGGAAACTTGATGGCTTAAAGGCAAACAATCAAACTAAATAATAGGAAGGAAGATTGATGAAAGATGCTCGGCAGTAAAACTTGTTTCCTTTAGAATTAATTTTCATATATTTCACCTGTCTTTTAAGCAACTTATATTGGCAAAATAGATAGGTGCATCGATGCGAACAATAACAATTCCATTATAAGTATATGCCTCCGGATATTGTTTGACATTTCTGTAAACAGTAGTGCCAGGAAGACGGCCCAAGACCGCTGCAGTTTACGAAGTAATAACAAAGAATAAGTAACTGTTTAATTTACTTAACTAATGAAAAAAAAATGATAGCTGTCATTACCATGATCAAAATAATGATGTAAGCAGTAAACGAAATCAGAACAATTACAGAAGATTAAAGATCAGAAACCTTCAACAAAGCGGTAAACAATAGTTATGCTTGTTATTTAAATGCATAAATATCATGATGTACAAAACCAACTTACCAATATGCGGATTCGCTGACTCGTGAATAACAAAAGCAAGTGATGCCCCAACCTACAATTGCAAATCAATTTTGAGTTGAATGAAAATTTCGTCCAACATTCTGAGGACATTCATGCATCATACATAATTAACTGAAGTGTCACATTCTCCCAGAAAATATGTGTGTCTGTGTATGTGTGTGTGTGTCCATATATATGCATATAAAATAAAATAAATAAAAAAAAGGGAAAAAAGAAGTCTTATACAGTTTTGTCTCAAATTAGGTCTTATATGCAATACTCAGGAGTTGCATGCTAAATGGAATTCATGTCAACTGTTGGACATTGAGAAAGAGTTAAAGATTCAGCATCTTATGCAATTATAAATATTAACAGCTGATAAGCATTTTTGCTCATGAATTCAAGGGGTCCCAACAAGTAAATGCATCAAAATGTAGATTTATGCAGCATTGTTAGAACCGTTCGATTCACGATTCGAATCTTACGATTCGTATCGAATCTAATGGAAAACGTTACTAATCTTAGTGTAGAATCGGAAAGAAGCCTGAATCGTTGATGAATCGGTCGAATTGGCAGTGAATCGTACGAATCGCAATGAATCGGTCGATTCACACGATTCAGAAATCGATTGGCAAAAAGCAAAATAAAAGAGAAAACTGCTCCATGCATTGTCTAATCTATGTTTGTTTACTGAGAAACAAGTAGAAAATAGAAGAGAGAACATATACGAAGAGAGGAGGAGAAAGAGAAAGAAACAGAGCCATAAAAATAATAATAAACAGAAAAGAATTGAACATATATTACTAGAGGAGAAATGACTAATTTTTCCATATATGCATAGTAGACTATTTGTAGTGCACTTTAATAACTGTCACGTCACAAGGAAACAAAATATTTACAATTAAAGTCCAAACTAATTCACACAATTACTATTATATTCTCTGCAATTACAATCACGTATTGACATATTATATGTCATTCAATTTTATTCTATAATTTGCATTTGGATTTTTAATATTTTTTGAATAAAATTAATAATTTTTAATTGAACGGTCGAATCTTACGATACGATTCGATTCTCGATTCTTGATTCAAAAAATAGGGATTTCGATTCTCGATTTGACAACTATGGATTTCTGGATATGAATCACCTAAATGACGTGATGATTGATTTCATTAAACACTTACCCCAACAAGGACACCAATCTCAATTCCCAGGAACAATGTTGTAGTGAAAGTAATGGTCCAAAGAAGAAAATCTTTCTTGTCTACACACCATAAGAAGATGGCCTCATCATAATCCACCTGACATGACAAAAATCCAGCAAAAATTAGAAAATAAATATAAATTGAAATCTTAAATCAAAACTATTCACTTGTTGGATAGTAGTGTACATAAAACAACTACAATTAGAATAATAAGCAGAAAAAACATAACAAAAGAAGGAATCAGTGGCAGGTTCAAAGAATGTAGCACAGTCACTTTCCTTAAGGCTATATTTGGCCCTAATTATTTGTGTGCAACAGGTTTAATGTGAATTGCCTCTAGGATATATCCCAAGACTAATTTCCTCTTGCGCTAACAAACCAGACCAGACGTTGAATGCTCACCAGTACCAAAAAAGTTAATCAATCTTATATTGTCTTCTGCAGCGAATGATAAAGTTGAACTAAAAGAGAAAGGATACAAGTTGTTTACGTGTAAATTCAGTTTATGAAGTTGGTATACAGGCACTTGTCTGTTCATTTACACAAATCTATTTCATTTAGAACTTCATTAAACTGCTATAACTCAGAACAAATTGACAAGAAAAAAAAATTTTTTTTCTCTTATATGACCTGCTATTGCCACATCCAAGTGTAAGTGCACCTATAAAGTGCCTAAAATGGTGCCTATGATCGCTTGCGATGCACACTAGCATTATATTGCTTTACCATTTACCAAACTAAAGTAAGTTCATATACACTTAATTCTCCTTTTCTTTTTCAAATTTTGTTCCGACCTTTATTTTTCAAATACTTCAATAAGAGGCACCAATAAACATTCTTGTTCTTCCATCATAGATCCATCTAAATATCAAGTTCATTCACCATACAGGATGTCATTAACAAATACATGAACCAATGTTCTATGTCATCAATCTTTCGATTCTTCACAGCAACTCCTTTAATACAACATGTTACAGTAAGTTGCTTTGACTTTGAGTATATAAGTTACAAATATACTGACTTCAGAGCAGTACCAGAAAGGCAAATACTTCTGGAAATAGACAATTATACTAACAGTTCTTCCCTTAACTTTTTGGAAAAATATCCTACTCCAGAAAACAATGTCCAGAATTACTAACATTGACACTGCCAAGATTCCAATTTCATGTCTGACGCAAAATCTAACCAAATTTACACAATAAAGGTCACACTCAGAAAATAATGCTTGCAGACTCCAAAAAGAATGCAAACACATGAATAATCACATTGAAGGATCAATTGACAAACAAGCCAGCAAAGCATGGTGACTAAATCACTAGTATAATATGCATATATAGATGTTGCTTTAAAATTCAAAGCATAAGATGTAAATGAAATAATTCATAGAACCCCTTAGATTATGGTTTTAGTACACTCACCAGGCCCATCACAGCAGAGATTACTATTGCAGCCAAAGAACACTGTAAAGAACAAAAACCAAAAGAATCTAAGTTTAAGGATTTAATTTGTGTGAGAGAGAGAATTATGCTGTTAAGCATTAAAATGATAAAAGGGGGAAATCAGAAAACCAACTAGTGACCTGTCATACGATTAAAGGTTCCTAATGTTTCTACTTTCCTAGGCCATTATTTCCATGATAATTTGCAGAACAATTCCTTTTCTGGGAAGGAATATTTTTTGGGTTATGACAATGACATAACTTGAAACCAGATAGTTTTAAAGTATTTTTGAATTCAAAAACAAATACAGCTAGAATACGGACCAGAGGAATGTATTCAAACAATGGAGTCAAGAATAAAAGAGCACAGCCCATGATGATGCCAGTTATGATTCCAGATAAGCCAGTTTTTGTGCCACTTTCATTGCTTACAGCTGACCTAGAAAAAGAACCTGCATGACAAGTTTGAAAAAATAATACTCATTTAACTAAAACTCACTGTAATATAAATTCTCGCAACAAAGAAAATAAAAATAAATTTGTGAAGAACAGAATGGATTATATTTTTTTTCATGTTAACATCCAATTGTTAATTTTGCAGCTTACTGGACCCCCCAGAAGTCTCACCTGTCGCAGGGTATGCTGAGAAGAATGAGCCAACAATGTTCGCTACCCCAAGACCAAACAACTGTTTAAAAAAGAACAAGAAAATTAGATTTCACTTCGTGCAACTCTATGACAATGTTAAATGAAGGTATGTATAGTTATACAAATGTCCAGATGGTGCCGAACTTACAACTGAAGTTTTAAAATTTCATGAGCATACATTATCTCTATGAATTTTGTTTTCATACAAACTAAATTTGTAGTGCCTTCGATCCACGAAGGCCAACTACTTTTACACCAAGCAGACTTTGCACCTCTTATTGATTATGCAGGCAAAAACAAAACTTGAACATATGTTGACAGTATGCCAGATTCTCTTATCAATGTAAATATTAAATGATTTCATCATAACTTATCAAGTTGCATATGAATAAATTTAAATTCTGTCAGATGTTAGGTGTAAAAGTGATTTCTTTAAGTACAAAAAAATTATATATATCCTAATTTATAGATCTTATCAAATAAACATTTTATATATGTACTTGAAAGTTCCACTTGTAGAACTAGGTTTAGTAGTTTTCACAAACCAACGTGTTGAATTCATGGTGTTAGGGCATTATGACATATATGATACATACATAAAATGATATGCACAACTTATACACTATGTTGCATGGAAACGTGGAAACGTGGAAACATGGAAACGGAAACTTGAAACTCGGGAATAGGGAAAGAACACAAGGAAAGATCATTTTCAAAAATATAGGAAACGGAAATGCAAGGAAATACATAAATATTAAAAAAAACATAGGGAATACTTATGAATGTAAAAAATACATCTTTTACAAACCGTCAAAGATATCCAACACAAGTCAAGTCCAATCAACATTTGATCATATTGAAAAGAAAAGAAAATACTCATTTACGATTTCCATACTCAAAAATACATATGTGGATTTGTATTTATTTATTTTAAAATGCATTTCAAGTTTACCAAATTTACAAAGATGGTCTAGATACTTTTTTGAGGAGTTTTAAACGCGGAGACGGGCAACTAAAGAGAGTTTCCGTGTAACATAGTTTATATATAGTAATTAATTATAAACATATTAAGTAACAAGATAATGATATAAAATCAAAAAAGTTATTTATTTTTAAGTATAATTGACATAACATTTAATTTATCTCGATTATTTTGATCTTTCATATTTAATTTAAACCATATTTGTAATCTTATTAGAATGTTTGACCTGTCCTTAACCATTTAGAGATGATATTCACACTTAAAAAGTTTTTTATTTGAAACAAAAATACAGGTTCTTCATACATGGTCAAGACTTTTGGGATTTCTTTCGTCTAGAAAATTTTATCTTATACTAAATCTATTGTTGGAAATTTTAGATTTCTTTTCTCAAAAAAAAAAAAAATGATAGATGATTCTTTTGTCATGATTCCTTTGAATTACAAGTTGTTATTTCTTACATTAAATGAATCTAAAAGGTCAAACCCCCAAACCAAGTCATCCCAAAACTTTGAAACCATAAGGTATGGGATTTTCATACATGAAATGATTTTTTCAATTTTGAAATCCACAGACCTTTGGAAAAATTCTTAAGTGGACTAACTAGCCAATACTAATGTGCCACGGCGATAAGATAATTACAAGATTCAGCTGATATTTCAAAAGCCAAAAAGTATCCTGTGATAACTACCACATGGATTGCATTATAATTAACTAACCAATGTGGAACAATGCCGGAGATCTTTAATCTCTAGATTGAACTCAAATTCTTCTAACCCTAAGCACTAGAGTTGTTTGAAAATGACCATTGCACTTTACATACCTCCTGGTTTGAGTCCAGCTCATACCCATTTCTTGCTGCCAAAGCTTTTGCAATACCTACAGATTCCTATAGTCAAAAATTTAATGTGATTGAAATGAGAAGTGTGACTCAAATTTATGAAGCAAAACATGAAAACAGATTGACCCTCATAACTTCGCTTACCAATATGGCTACACCAGTAATAAGAATTGCTGTCGGTATTAAAGACTTTGCATAACCAAACTCTTTGGGAATAGAAAAGCTTGGGAGCCCCTGGGGTATATCCCCCACCTGAAACAAAGCCAAATTTCTCAGTTGATGCTGGCTATGATTTATTTAGCCAAAAATCATGCACAAAAAATAATAATAATAATGCAGACAGGTGAAAGAATATTTAGCAATAAAAGGTTTCCAGTACTGATTATTTTGTTAATTAGATTAGACCAGTTGTTGCAAACTAGGGCAAGGAAATTAAGCCATTGAATATACAAATAGCAAGAGTTATGCCTTCAAGATTTATCTCCTACAACTAGGTTGTGGAAACATATGCAGCACAGCAGAACTAAAATTCAGAAGTCTTTATTTACAAAGCCAAAATTTCTCAGATTGATGATGGCTAATGGATTTTATTTGCCAAAAAATCATGCACAAAAATAAATAATAATAATGCAGTAACAGGGTGGAAGAATAATTTAGCATAAAGGTTTTCCAGTACTGTTATTTTGTTATTAGATTAGACCAGTTGTTGCAAAACTGGGCAAGGAAATAGCCATTGAATTATAACAATAGCAACGAGTTATGCCTTCAGATTTAATCTCCTTACAATAGGTTGTGGAAACATATTGCCAGCACAGCAGAACTAAATTCAGAAAGTCTTTATTTACAAAAAAAAAAAAAAAATATATATATATATATTATATATATAATATATATATATATATATATATAATTAGCATACCAAGTATATATAGCATACAAGCAATTTATTAGTTTGGGGAACAGAAAGCTGTTCATCCTACCAAAAGTTAGTAAAATTAATAACTAGATTATAAGTTAAGTTGATTTGCCCTGCCTCTGCAAATAACAAGCACCATGAGAGTAGATCAGTGCTGATTTTAGACACATGATTGCTACCTTTAGAAAGTTATATGAGTCAAATATCCCTTCTACTGGAAGATTGCCACATTTATATTTATATATATAAAAAAATCTTCCTCTTGAAACCCTTTCTATAACAGTATCAAGAGGTTGTTAACTGCCAATTATACAGACAATAAGGACGCAATAACATTAAAGTTTCATTGGCAGGGGATAAATGTTGTCATAAAAGAAGCAAATGCAGCAACTAGTGGAGAAGCCACATGGCATTTTATGAGTCACATAATCCATGGAACAATCAAATTATTTAGCAATAGATTTTAATTAAACAAATAATAATCCTGTGCTGAATTATATAACTCATCAGTTTTAGATTTATAATATATTTATGTTATTATATATGAAAATTTTCAATACACTTGCGCAATGTGTGAGTGTGGTCTAAATGGTAGTACATGAATATTTGAAAGTTTTAACAAAGAAAATATATTTTTCTTTTCATAAAACAAATATAGCATTCAAGAATTAGATCTAAAATAAGATAGAAATAGCTTACAATAAGTTTAAGCAGTTAAGTATTCTCACCAAAGAAATAGATGATGGGTGAAATATTTTAACAAAAGTTGTGCCCAAAATGACTGCTGTGAGGGGACCTGCTGCCCGAAGGAACCTGAATTGCTTCCTTGATTTTCCCTTCACATGGAGTACCAAAATCATAACTACCAATGTCGAGAAAAAACACATCCCATAACCCCAAAAAAAAAAAAAAAAAAAAAAAAAATCGCCATAACCCCAAAAAAAAAAAAAAAAAAAAAAAAAAAAAAGGAAAGAAAAAGGAATTGATCCATACCAAATGCTTCATGACTAGAAGTATAGCAAGAATGCTAGATCCCATCACAAAAGGAGGCCATGAGAACTACAAAAGGAAAACATGCGGTTAAAAGGGAATTAATGAGTGATAGCACCAGGCATCGCATGCTGAATATTAGTACATGACACGTGGAGGGTGATTCATAAATCAGAAGAAGACAAGTATAGATGAAAAAGGTAAGTGCCAATCAAATATATGATTATTAGTTGTGCATATATTAAGTTTTAGATAAAAACTAAATTGCAATCATATCAGGCCGCATCAAAAATTGGCAGTTGCCACCTTAGTAAAACACCAGATTTTCAGTATTGCTGCTCATGGTTTCCTCTTATACCTAACAGCCATAATCTTTGAAGGATTTGAACAAGGATTTTTGAAATCTTACATTTATGGCAGTTTTTATGTTCTCATCAATAATTTTTCAAAAAAAAATATATATGCAACAATTCTATTAGTTGAGCAAGTGACAATTGAGCAATATAAGTTTCTTTTCCCCATTTCGTATGTCTTCATGGACTTCATCGCTAACGAAGTCTGGACTTTGGACAACATAAGTTATTTAGTTTACTATTGGCCCCAATATTTCAAAAGAAATTATAATCAAGTCACCTTGTTTGAATTATTCATCCAGTTGTTCAAACCACACATAAACCATTGAGCACATGCAAAGAGATACGTTATTGAGAATTCTACTGATTTGAACATGATGAAACTAATAAGATTACAGTCAAGACAACACAAAAAGTTAATCAAACACTTATTAAAAAGGACTCTTTCTTAGGGGCCTCATACGAGACTGTTCAAATGAAGAAGTACAAGAAAATGCACCTATCAGAATACAGTCACTATATAGAGCATCTAACACTTGAGCAATCATACCTTATCTGCTCCTGATATTATACTCTTGATCAAAGGCACAATTTTGCTGCTTCGTACAACACTATATCCCAAGAAATACTTTGCTTGAGATAATGCAATCACGATTGCTGATGCAGTTGTAAAGCCAGAAATCACAGAATGGCTAATGAAGCGTATAAGCCATCCAAGTCTACAAAAGAAAAGAATGTAAACATAGGTCTTCTATTTCAAATAATAACTTCACAGTGCAGGTATGCACTTAAACAAATAATCTCTAGATATTTTCCCTTGAAGGGCATCAAATACTTTTCCCACAACAGCAAAACTCTATGTTTTGGCTTTTCTGCTTAAAGGACACAAAAGAACTTATGCATAGACATGGAGATATAGAAACAATCAGAATGCAAGAACACATTTTGTGACTATTAGTGTCATGATAAAGTTGAACGGCAGTACCTTAAAAGCCCCATTATACATTCTACAACTCCAACCATAAATGCCAACAGTATAGCAAGTTCTGTGTATAACTTATCAGATGAATCAACAATTCCTCCCAAAACATTAGAGACTAGCAGGGAAACCAAAGCCACAGGACCAGTTGCTAGTTGCCGAGAAGACCCAAATATGGCATACACAAAAACTGGCACAAAACCAGTGTCTGCCTTGCAAAACAAGTATAGGATATGTAGGATTAAATCTTCAATTGATGGAGAGACGAAGAACAAAAACAAAATCATAATCATAATCCATCAGCAATATTCAAGAAAATTGCAATGATACTGTCTCTTCAGATTATTATGTCAGTATGGTGCCAATGGTACCACAAGAAACTAAAATTATTTTCAAGAAACTAAAATTATGTTTGGTAAGCAGTAATAAATAATGTAATGTAATCAAAGCATTTCCAATATAATAGGTCATCTCGGTTTTATATTAGAATTTTTTTTTTTTTTTTTTTTTTTTTTTAGCATTTCAATATAATAGGTCATCTCGGTTTTATATTAGAAATTTTTTTTTTTTTTTTTTTTTTTTTGATTTTTTTTTTTTTTTTTTTTTTTTTTGATTATGTTACATTATGTTTCATTATGGCTTAACAAATAGAGCTTAAGAGTGATCAAAGACACAAATAGTAAGGACTTGAAGTAAAGACTTTCTTTTGAAAAAGAAATTCTGAATTCTGTCTGCAGATAGAATTTTCAAAAGAATTCAAGCCAAACACAAGGGAAATAGATAAAACTTAGACTTAAAAAATCTCATGCTAAACTTACAAAGTCCATAAATTGGTTGAAGCCCAGCTAACTTTGCATAAGACATTGCCTGTTCAATTACCACAAAACAGTTAACAAGCTAATCAAACTCATCTACACTTCTAAACCCACAAAAATTAAAATAGTGGACAGATAGTAACAGTAACAAAAACAAAAACAAAATAACAGGATTATATTAAACAATTTAAAATTGGTTGGTTGCTCAAAACTTGAAATTCCAATTGCCAACATCCTATACAAACCAAACACGACCAGACTTAAAAATGGATAGCAATTACTCTAGCGGCCAAAACAAATCATAAAACAGACAAATATGGCCTCTACTCTCTAATTGGCATAAACAAGTCGTAAAAGCAACCACTAAGAGACCAAAAGTCAAGAAGTAAAGCAGCAATAATTGAAATTTGAAAACAAATCCATTGAAATAAGAATTAGCAACTAGGCTCTGCAGAGCAGAATTCAATTCGACATCAATCCAAATCAGGAAGAAAAGAAATGAAACCAATCAATTACAGTTGACTGATCGTTAAAACAATGATACAGTGGTATCCACACTGTTGAACGCCGTTTGATTTGCCAACAAAGTACAGGAAAGTTAGCGGCAGAAAAAAAGAAAGCAGAAGAGAGATTCAAATAGCAGAAATTATTATTTCCGTCATCAAACACAATATTCGTGTCGCTTCAATTCTATCTACTAGACTTCACACGGTTTTCTCCTGAACGAAACAGAAAACAGAGCTCCGTATGTGCGTGTACAAGCATCAAGCATGCATGATAGTGTTACAATTGAAATGTTTATTTTCCAAGAAAAAAAAAAACTGCTAGAATTACAAAATTTACTTCAGTTTTTTTCTCATTTTACTAGTAGCCAATCACAGAAACAGAGGAGTAGAATCACCTGTGGCACGAGCATAACACCGATGGTAGTACCAGCCATTAAATCGACCTGGAAATACTCGCGCCAGTTATAATTCCTCATCCAACGGTAACAAGGCAAAAAAGTTTCGATCCATTGAGTCAAGGACATACGCTTTACTTTCGTAGCCCAACGGGAGAAGAGAGCAGATGGAGTAGAAGAGGAAGGGACGAAAGACGACGTCGTGTTTGGATGTTGCAGAGGAATTATCTTAACCGGTCGGGCTCCGGACATCGGTGCGTTGCCGGATCCGGAGGAGGAAGAGGTGATGGACGTGAGGTCGCGAGAGCTGGAAGAGGCGTATGTTATCTCCATGCGCACTCCCAGCGGACGTTAGATGGCACCCCAACGCCAATATTTGTAGAGGAAAAGTAATAATAAAACAGTGGTTTGAAAAAGAAAAAAAAAAAAAAAAGAAAAATTTGGTGGAAGAGGAATCAGATTTTGTTGGTTTGGTTTTTTTACAGGTTTTTTTTTTTTTTTTTTTTTTTTTTTTTTTTTTTTTTTTTTTTTTTTTTTTTTTTTTTTTTTTTTTTTTTTTTTTTAATGTTCACTATATTTTAGGAGGTGTATTTTGGCGGCAGTAGGTAGAGATGCGTATTTCGCAATGGCGTGCACTCAAAGTCTAATGCAATCCTCCAGGGCTTATTTTCACCCAAGGTCCCTTGATTTAGAGGCTAATCACTTTAAGGTGTTTTATCTTAAAATTATATCTTAAAACTCCCTGAATTTTGGTGTTTATAACAAATAAGTGACTCAGGCAAGTTTTGGCCAAAAATAATCGAAAGCGTAACATAGCATTATTTTTTTACACATGGCATTTGATGTGGAAAAAAAAATTCCAACTAAGCTGCATGAGTGGATTCCAGATAGACAAATATGTAAATTTCTATTTTATCCCTAATAATATCCAAATCTATTACCTCTCTCTCTCTTCACCAACAAACACCATCACCATCACCCCTTCAATACCACCAAAACCAACTCCTTCAACTTCCACTAGCAATACCAAAAACACTATCACCACCGTCTTCCTATCTTTCTTTCTCTTTCCAAACCCTAGTTGATCATACTCAGGTTCTATTTTTCTTCCTTTTTTTTTTGTTAACTTTTTTAAATTAGATTTGATGCATACTTGTATACCAAATTAAAACTGCAGAAATCAAAATCTCATACCAAAATAGAGTAACCAAAAGCACAAAAACACAAGCGAGCTTAGGCGAGGTGATCTCAAAGAGAAATCAGGCGGCAGCAACAATGGAGATTTGAAAACTTATAGATTTGGAGACTCAGGGTTTCGACAAAACGATGTCGCATAGGGCAAGACTAATGCAAGGGAGATTTGAAGACTTACAGATTGCAAGTTCATGGCGGCAATTGGTATTATATATCGAGATAGATGGAAGAAGCTGCGAGTCAGGTCTTGCGGCGGACACAGGTCGAAGCCGGTCTATATGGCTCGTTTGTCGACAGTGAAGAAATTATATGAATGTGTGTGTGTGTGTGTGTGTGAAAGAGAGAGAGAGAGAGAGATTATGGATAAAAAGATAATAGAGATGGAGAAGACGGCGGCGAAGTAGAGGAGGATGGTGAGGATAGCAGCGAAGTAAAGAAGAAAAAGAAAGAAAAACAGAAAAGAATTAAAAAGAGAAAAGAAAGAGAAAGAGAGAGAGAGGAAACGGGAGAGAGAGGTTACGTGCGACATGCAATTTTAAGACAAAATAGGAAGTTTACATATTTGTCCATGTAGAATCCACTCATGCAACTGAGTTAGAATTCTTTTTTCCACATGCTGACGCATTTTTTATGCCCCGCCTGATCCAATGAGTACACGAGGATGAATGGGTTAATGCTATCTAGAAGCCTTTCAATCCAAGGATTTAAAGAAGCCTTTCAATCCAAGGAATTAAAAAAAAAAAAAAAATGAGCTGCGTCATAGTTGTGTGACGCAGCTATAAGTAGCTGCATCCGCGCACTGCAAGCTGCATCACGCAGCTTGTGTCCTGACCTAGCTCTAAATAAATACATCTCTTTTCTCACAATTTTCACACAACTTCACGTTTTTTTTGAAAAACCCTAAAAATACACTGTGCGGCACATTTCTCTCCAAAAAACTCTTGTGAGTTGAATTTGAAGAGAAATTGCCAGTTAGATAACAATTTTAGGTGAATCAAAAGCATAAAAAGAGAGAAAAATAACAAAAAGATAAAGAAAACACATTATAATCCCTTGGATAACAAAGCTTCTAGGAGATTCTTAAAAATCATTTGTTAAGACATTTGATCCATTACAATCCTCAAATCTGAGGATTAGGTAATTCTTTTAACATTTTTTGTATTTCTTCATATTTTTGTGTTTTTTACATATTTTGGTGATTTTTTAGTAAATTAAGCTTCTTTAAATTGTATTCTGTTCATATTTGGCCATTTTATTACGTCCTTAAAATCAACATTTAAATAAGAAATGATGTATTAAATTACTTGAAAACGAATTCTGGGCCAGAATAGGTGCATCACGCAACTGTTCCCCTAGATGAAACAGCTGCTCACGCAGCTGTTCATACACTTATTCATCACTGTTTTATTCGATTTCCGCAGAAATAATAAAATAATAATAATAATAAAAAAAATAAATTTTGCACAAAAATAAAGTTTAATTTCTTCAATAAATCTGAAAATGTCCAACTATGAAAGATCACAATTTAATTAAGTTTAGAATGCTAAAATGTAAGTTTGTATATTTATTTGTATGAATTTTACAATTTTTGATTGAATGCAAAATGAAATTAAATTAAAAATATAAAAATATAAAAATGTGATTTAGATGCTAAATAATAATTATGCATGATTTTATTTTTGGTTTCTAGGTTTAATTTTGAATCGATTTATATATTTTTTTTGAATTCGGTTTGTTACCCGCCTTGAACCATAAGGCAAGAGCGGGTCTTTTATTTGTTTGGTTTAATTACTTTGATTTGAATGGTTATTATGTGATAATTAGTTATGTGATAATTAGATTTGATTGGGACGATTAAATAATTTTCCACATAAAAGAACTCGTCCGATTCATTTGGGTTGGGTTAAGTAAATAAATAATTTAGTTTTTTTCCTAACTAAAATAAATTGAAAATTGTTGGCTCAATGGGTCAAATTTTATCTTGAGATTTTTGATGATTAAGCCAAACAAATAAATTTAATATTCTAGTAATGTGCTGAATATTATTTTATGCAGAATATTATTGGTTGAAATTATTGAAGAAAACGAAGTTCCTACATCCCAAGATTTTTTAATTTGAAGACCAATAAAGATTAAATGAAAGATATTTTCCTATTGTTAGTATTATATAAGTCTTAGGATAATATTGTAGGATATATATATAAATAATTTTATAAGCACAAATCTATTTTTTATCTCTCTCAAAATTGTTTTGAAGTTTTTGAATAAATTTATTAAGAGGATATAGCAAAATCTTTACTCTTCACGGTTTTCCATCTAAAATAATCTTTGGAAGTAAATATTATGGGTTGCTATTAAATGAAAATTCTGCAAAAAGCATTTTTTCTGATTTAAAAAGCAGTTCTTTCTGATTTAATACAATTGTCTGTTTCTAATTACAGCTGGCTGTTTTCTGAATATAAATGCTTACACTGTTTTCTAAACTGAAACTTTCACCTTCAAACCTTGCATGTGTGAATGATTTAATTGGTCCAAAACGAAGCCCTTTTTAATTGGCAACCCATGCATGTCTCGTTAAGTTTTAAAAAACATCAAAAACTTATTGCTCATTAAAGCAAAAATAATCTCAACCTTAACTTCCAAAAGAAGAATATCATCTTTTCATATAAAAAGCCATTTCTCTTGTAAAAATAACGGGTTTTGCAAAAAGAGTAATGGAGTCCATTGTTTAAAAGGCTTAAATCTCTCAAAGCTCTCTCTTTAATCCCGCCTATTTCTTTCGTCTCTTTGCTTCAAAATTTTTAAGAGAAAAGAAAATTTATTAACAACATTTTCTGAAGAACAGTTCTGATATTTAAATCTGTTTTCTAAATTCGTTTTCTGTTCTTCTGTGCTTATATTTGCATTTCTCTCTGTCTATATAGATTTTGTAATCTGTTGTAAACAGACTCTTTATTTGAAAAACTTTTGTGTAATAGCTTAGGTGAAAAGCTATGGTGTTATAGGTTATCAAACGACCTTCTCCTTGTGTGAGATTCTAATGTCTTGATTTGAGTTTCTGATCTCTGCAAAATCAGAAAGGGTTGAGGTTAACTAGCTAGAACCTTTGGAAAATCTAGTGGGTATAAAAAAATCTAGTGGGATAAATGTTAGATCTATTTCATTGTATTGTTGGTTTCTCTCTTACCCTTGAAAAGAGATAATATAGTGGAGGATCTCAAAATGCGTCTTGGAGAGTGGATATAAGCGAGTTAGTGCCGAACTACTATAAATCTCTGTGTTTATCTTTTTTTTTTACTTTCTGAAGTTCTGCTTGATTATATTCTATTTACACAACTGTTAATTTGTTTAGAAATGCAAAGTTATTAATGAGTTTCTGATTCTAATCGTAAATAAGCTTTATCTCTGTGGAACACTAGAACTTTGGATTTCTGTATTGTGATTATACCAAGTTCTAATCTGTCCTTCTATATTCAGTTTAATTCACAATATGAATTACAATCAGTTTTCTAATCTTGCTTAAAGTTGTTTAAAAACTTTTTGTGAACCAGTTTTTAAAATGGCAATAATTGTTGTTTACAGAGTCTTTCTTTACAGAGTCTTTCTAAAATTGCTTAAACTCTGTGAAGCTGTTCTAATCGCAATAGCTGTTCTTCACAGAGTCTTTCTAAAATAGCAATAAACTTTGTGAGGCTGTTCTAATCGCAATAGCTGTTCTTCACAGAGTCTTTCTAAAATTGCTTAAGCTTTGTGAAGCTGTTCTAATCGCAATATTGTCCTTCACAGAGTTATTCTAAAATTGCTTAAGCTTTGTGAAGCAGTTCTAAATGCAATAATTGTTCTTCACAGAGTCTTTCTAATCATGCAATAAGCTTTGTGAGGAAGTTCTAAACCTTTTGTGAGGAAGTTCTAAAAACTAAATAACTAACTCTCCAAAATGCTTTCCTAATTTTCGCTGCAGATAGAATTCTGATTTTTAATTTTTGAAAGCTAAATTTTTAGAAAAAACCCAATTCACCCTCCTCTTGTTTTTGCCATAAATAATAAACAGGACCCACAGAAATCATAGGTTAATAGAGGCCGGTTCCAGGCATCGGCTTCCCAACGGGCCGGCGTACCCAATTCTCTTACCCAGAATCGGCATTTGGGTTGCGCCTGACAGTCTTTTAAAAATAAATTTGGCTTGAACCAAATTGGGTTTTAAAA